ATATATATATATATATATATATATATATATATATATATGTAAATGTTTTCTTTAATATATTGATATTTCTTTGTGAGGGGTCGTTGATAAATTATATAGGCAAAGATTCTCGTTGAAAAAAGAATTAAAGGCTAAATAAAAATATATAAAATACATTATGACAACTACACTAACATAAATACTATGTTTATGTACACGAATCTTTTGGACAATTAAAGATGGGTTTGGATAATAATGTCAAGAGAGTCGCATTCACATTAGATAATATGTTACTTTTAAATTGTATAATATATGAATATATATATATATATAATATACCTTTGTATATATTCCCTCTGTTCCTTGGGAACTGCAGAACTTCAATTTCCCAAGTATATATGTATTAATTCACTGATTTATTTATGAAATCTAAGCCATCCAACTTTTAATTAATTCCGTTTATACCCTTATACACCAAATATTATATTCTCTTTTTTTGGGTAAAGGCATTATAAACTAAATATAATATTCGATCATATCAAATTTGACAAGTTTTTCGTATGAGATTGAATTTTCAACACGACAACAAAAGAATTTAATTTTTTAATATTTTTTTTCATGGGTGTCTAGGTTTGAAAATAAAACGTCTATAACTTTTAAATGCATTAGAAGATGGATGGAAACGGATGATGTGACACTCCCATTTTATTTCACCACAAAAAATATTAATTACATGATTTTTTATTAATATTATTTCAAATCATTCATAAAAATAAAATAAAAACCTACTAAAATCGAATAAAAAGCATATCAAATAAGATTGGACAGCATCGATAACTATGCATATAACTGAATCTGAAAATAATTTATATGATTCAAAACATTGTTTTAAAATATCTTTATACTATTCAGAATTATAAATTCTCTTTTTTTAAAAAAAAAATTCAAATTTCATATATATTAAAGCTGTAAAAACAAAGAAGAAGTGGTAATGAGGATTACCAAGATATAATCAATGACAACAAATTTAAGGATGACTAAAACAAAGAAAATATAGTCCGCATTTTGCATGTCACCAACAACTATCCAACGAGTTAAAGCACAATCTATGATGAGATGTAAAAAAAAAAAGCATCAATGTTATATTTAATAGGAATAATTTTAAATATATGTGAAATACTATATTAATATAGATTATACGTTCTATATTTTTTCATCTAATAATCATGTATAACTATTTTTCTAAATTAAATAAAATATTTATTTTTTTATAATCAAGAGATTCATTAACCTTTCGACTTAGCTAAATGACCATTTTTATCATGGTTTAAATTCGAGTTCAGTAGAAAATATTTTCTTTCGGGAGTTTGGTGGAAAATATTTTCTAAAACTATTAAATATACATCATTTTAGGAAAACTCTATGTTCCTGCCAATCTACTATTTATTCTATTCAAATTTATAGATAATAATAATAATGGAATGTTTTTACAACAATAGTATCGTCTCAATCCCAAATTTAATTGAGGTCGACCGCATGAATTCTTCTTTTCCATTCATTTCGATTTTGCGTCATATTCTTCTATATTTGTAATATATCCAAGTTATTTTTAATGACTCGTTCCCAACACTACAAGAAACATTAAAATTTGCGACAGAAAAATCTGTCGCAAATACAAAAGAATATCTGTCGCAATTACAAATTTGCGACAGATTGCGACAGAATCAATTCTGTCCGTATATTGTTGTCGCAAAAGTTTGCCGGTCGTTAATCTGTCGTAAAGTTGCGACGGACAAAATCCGAGTTTTGCGACAGAATTGCGACAGAAAAATCTGTCGCAAATATATTTTTTAATATTTTTAAAAAAATAAAAAAAAATCTACGTTTACTACGGATTTGCGACAGAAAAATCCGTCGCAAATATTTTTTTTAATTTAAAAAAAATATA